TTTTTTGGCTATTTCACCCGGTTTCTACCGGGGACATTGCCCGGTCTCGGGTGTCCCCCCATGGCCTGTGTCCAGCCCCCCCCCCACATCCATATATTAACGGATTTTGACCATTTTTGTTGCATTTTTCTCCTCTCCTCTCACTGATCGAATGGCAAACGCGACCCACTGTCGGAGGGCCTCCGCGCCGGCCCGGCCTAGTGCCGGTGCTCTGGCGGTCGGTTCCTCCGAACTGCGGGTTCGACTCTGATGGCCGGGAGGGTGTGCTGCTTTGGGGTGGGGGACTTCCCCCACTCTTGCCCCTTTCACACCAGCGCTTGTTCAGCTCCGGCTCGGAGCTGGAGCCTGAAAAGCACCGTTTTTTCCTGTTCACACCGCAGCGGCGCCAGCTCTTAGCTCCGGAATCCGGTTCACTTCCAGCTCCAAAAAATTGTCGGTCTAGAGGCAAGAGCTTCGGAGCTAAGAAGTGGCGTCGCTTACGTCGAGGCGTGCAGGAAACTAAACCCACCTCCCCTGAACATGGGTCGACTGTCATGCCTGCCTACAAGCAGTAGTGCTTATAAACACACTTTATAAAGTCAGGCAACACTAACCAGGCTTCGTGTGATTCTGTTTATTTGTACCTTACTTTGACCATCCGTTCACTGTTATTGATCATTGTGGAGAGAGGCAGACGTTTAGTTTTATAGCAGCTATCGGATGGAATCAATACATGGGCTGCACAGGTTGTCGTGTCCGACTATCACAAGTAGAATCATAATAAAAATACGCCGGTAAAATGTGCCTGTAGAAAACGGTTTATGCCACAATAGGATAGCAATAGCAAGTAGTCAGTTTAGCTTCGGTTGCTATGCTAACATCACCCATTTTATACCAGAGGAACTTTCATAACAGCGTTGTGATACCAAACAGCGTCAATTCAGACTGACACACATTCACTTAGGCTAAGGGGAACTGGGGATATGTATCAGCTGCTTGTGTGATTCGGACAGTGAATACTTTAGAGCGGCCGCTGCAATGTGAGCTAACCGGGAGCTAACGGAGGAGAATAAACTCCCGTAGAAGAGCAGCCAACACTGCAGCGGTCGGTAAATGCTGCAGAAACACATTAATAAACAATGAACCACGGCACTCTGGAGCAAAGTATAAGGTTGGAGAAGTCGTTATTCAATTTATTCTGGCTTCGTGTGATTAAAAGCAACACGATCATCGACCCGACGCAGTTCCCCGTTGTTGTGAGCGCCGTAATGCCGTTGGGGAGCAAATCAGCGATGTAAACGGTGACGTCATGACGCAGCAGCGGCAGCACCAATCGGGTGCTGGGCGGTGTGAACAGAGCGGGAGCAGAAAAGGGAAACCGGAGCTGAACCAGAAAAGCTCTAGCTCGGAGCTAGAAAGGGAAAAGCGCTGGTGTGAAAGCCGCATCTGCGTGTCTCTTCCTTCCCGGGCCGGCCGATATGAAGCGTGACCAAGACGCACCGTCCAGGGGTCCCACGGGTCCCACGGGTCCCGCAGCGGGGTGGAGGTTCCCAGCTGGAATATATATATATAGGGACACCTTGTATTGTAGTTAATATCAGTACAGTATCACTTTTCATCACTTAAGATGATTGAACTGTTCTGCCCTTACAGCGCGTATCCCTATGCGTAGCTAGACAGTTAGCTAACATTTAAAACTCCTCCAATAAAGATGCAAGGTTTTCTTTCTTGACTTTACTGTTCTTCTTTTACTTTGTAAAACTGTAACAATACAGAAATAAAACACATAAGTATGCAGGCTTTACATAACATATAAGTAGCACTGTGCAAACGACACACATACTACTATTAGGAATTAGCTATCATTAGCATCACTATTAGCTAGCACACGTCAGAATCGTCACTTCCTGTACTGACAGTGGAGGTGTCCTGAGAGTGGAGGTCTGCACCGGAACTGTCCTGAGAGTGGAGGTCTGCAGGCAGACCCCTCTCCTTTGTTTTGGATGCTCAGATTGAGAATCAGTCCATCTGACGTCAGTTCAGCTGAATGGGGATGAGTGATGTTCCCTGTGAGAATAGAGGGAGCTGAAAGCACAGTAGGCTATAGCTGTTTCTAAACAACATCCACCATCACCTCTGATGAAGCGTTGTGAGAACATGTGGGTCACAGATTTCCCCCGTGGGGTTGAACTGGTTAGGATTGTGGAATATTTTGACAGATCGGTTTCGACTTCAGTGTTAATGCTCTGCACTCTGTACGGAATGTGCCGAGGCCCTCAGAAACTGTCCAACGGTAAATTACATTTAAAACCCATGACATTAAAATGGAGTGAACTTACATCTGAAGTTGCTGCAGTGAAAAATGATAGAGACTGGGTGATATTTTGTTATGTTGTCTTCCCGTCAACCGCAATTTTTATCCTCCTGAATTAAATATTTTCAGAAGAACGTAAACCATTGTTGATACCTGTTGACCACAGATGCTATACATTTAAATACAACTCCCAGAATTCAATGAGTTAGTAATCCTTCATTTTTCAAGGAACGTAGTTTGGAACCATCCGTGTTATTTTTGTGGACATTAGATGAAATAACCCTCTCAATGTGACATCAAAATATTTAGAAACGGGTCTAAAGGACAAAAGGAAGGTTAACCAAATATTTCTATAAATATTTCAACAATATTGTAGGGTTGACTATCGGTGCTTTCATAAAAAATATTTTTGCAATGAGGTTTTTATTAAATAGTTGTCAGTAGTGTGGACATAATGTTGGATAAAAACGTATAATACAAATTTGGAAATTCCAACACTTTACTGTAACGCAGCCTTTCAAGCCAGAAAGAAAGACATACAGCTGTATGATGATATCTATTATCTAATACGATATCTTGTCTCATATCACAATATGAGCATAATATCGATATATTTGCCTGTCTTTATTTATAGCTAGCTTGTTGAATAGTTAATATCGAATGGAGCTTTTAGTGTGATTTATGTGACAAATGAATGACCTCATAGCCATTCATTGGATTCAAAACATTTTGTCTTTCCTCTTTTAATGATAGTATCAAAGACTACTGCCGACAGCATCCAACCAAGGACACTGATATAAAAACCCATAATACTTTACTATCACTCGAATAAAAATATATGTTAGTTAGAAAAACAATGCCATCAGAATAATCAAAAGATCGCAAATAAAGCTCTACACGTTGGGGCCTTAAAATAAACCAGTTTTAATTGCCATCTGATCATTTTTGTGTTGCTTTTCTAACGATGGTGATGTTGGTTGATTAGTCAGTCCTTCAGTTGGACTATCTATTTAACATCTGCCCAATACCACGTCTCAACAACAAGACGGTAACTCTTCTATGGATCTGTAGGGGTCCCAGATCATACATTAAAATGTGTTTGGTGACTCCTTGACCCTTTTACCCTTACAATAAACACGTTTTATTGTAAGTCAAAGAATAACTCCTTAGTAATTGATACTGCTGTCAGTCTCACTCGTTGACTCATAAGGGGGCTTTCCTGGAATTGCCTGTAAGAGAAGTCTTTGTGCCAATGGTATTATTCGTACTGATTCCCTCTGGAATCAATACAAGGTCAAAGCCAAGGTGAGACAGCAGGCTGAACTAATCAAGATAGCACACTGAGCAGCTGGGTCCATGCCAAGGTTTCTTATTTTGATGGAGTAGGCAGGTGCTGCAGCCACAGCACAATGTAATCGCACTCAATTCAATTCAATGTGCTTTATTGGCATGAATAATGGATGACACAGACAATATTGCCAAAGTGTTCAAAAGAAATAGTTTTCTCATCCTAAATCTCCCTTTCTTTTGAGATTTGCTCGCACAAGTACGCCCCATCTAATTGGCAAACCGTCATAGCTATAGCTTCTTTTCAAGGTTCTGCTCATTTCAGCTGTATATTAGTATTTTGCGCCTCTACTGTGACAACCAGAGCCCAGTCTGCTCTGATTGGATAGCTCGCCGGCTCGCTTGAAGATGTCCCGCCCCTTAGCATGTCCTTAGCATGTCATGTACAATGTGTTGGAGCGCGAGTGTAACATAGTGATGTTACTATGTTACAGAAGAAAACAAAGGATTCCAACAGAGGTCTTGATAAGTGTGTGTTCTTGAGTAAATGTTGTTAGCAAAAATATGCACATTTATAAGTATGCGTTAAAAAATGAACATTTATGAGTAAATTCCTAAAAGCACATTTATGAATAACAGTTTGAACATGAGTAAGACTGCAAGTAACGGTTTGTTCGTGGCTAAGAGTGTCTTTGTACGCTCACAGTCATGGTCAGGGTGTTAGTTAGTAGGTGGTTTCACGGTTTCTTTCTGGTGTTATCTGACATGTCCTCTGAAGTTATAGGTATGTGATGAAATGCAAAGCCATCTTGCATTTCTGTGCAGAACACAATATGTCTTGTCGGGGCATAGAGCAGCTTGATACCAGCTGTGAGAGGCACAACATACAGTCAGGCCTAACCACAACCACAGCAGGGTGCACGTGTGACGCACACACACTCGGCTTTACATGAGCAGAGGAGCTGAAGTATTACTTTATTTGACTTGAGAAGAGATGTAGTTCAGTGAAATGACATTATGCATGGGAAAAAGAACTTACCCATAACCAGGGTTGGGAGGGTTACTTTAAAAATATATTCTATTGCAATTACTAATAACGTGTACAAATAATAAATGAAATATTGTAATCAGGTATTCGTAGAATCACTATAAAAAGGTAATGTCACCTGATTACTCTCCACTACTTCTGGATGACCTTGACATTAGATGCAATGTGCATACCTTTTACAAATTCTGTTTTAGTTTAGTACATTATTCATAAGCAAAAACTGTATTTTTCTTTCATAAATCAGCTACCCACCTACTGCGTTAAAAAAATGAAATAGAAAAAATCCGTTTGGGTCTGGAGAAGGTGGCTACATTTGTATAAACTCTTTTTTATTTATTGCATAGATAACCATGTATTTGTCCTCCCTTTCAGGCTCGTAACATCAGGACGTCTGAAGTGGCAGCTATCAAGATTGTCAAGCTGGACCCTGGTATGTCACACACGATAAGTGTTTGATTCATGTATCATTTGAATGTAATTGTGAGTGACATTTTTGTAATTATGTCAGTTAGGAAAGAAGATAAATATCGCTTTCATAAGAAGGCTTAGGCTCACACAGGGTTAGCAGTTTCCCTCTGGTTTCCAGTCTTTTTGCTAAGCTAGGCCTACATGTACATGTGAACAAGTAAACTATAATACAATAGAGATTAAAAGGAAAGAAAATGCAAGCTGCTGACATGTCTTTGATTGTATCTGTATTATTTTATTCTGATATACCTCCAAATGTATATTTGACTATGTTTTTAACATTGATTGTTAACAATATTGTATTATATGTTACAGGTATATTCACTTCAGAAACACTTTTTGTTATATTCCATGGAATGCTCTTAACATCCCGATAGCAATGAATATCTGAAATGCTTTGACAATAAATCCATTAAAACACATCATCTCTGGAAGCCGGCTAAAGTAACTGGATGGCCTACCTGCCTGTCAGCCTTCCATCTGGGCACAAACTCATCTCGTGCCCTCATTGGTCATGTGCGCGTTTGTGTGTGTTGGAGGAGGGGCTCTGTAAGGAAGTGGCAGATTTATTCCGGCTGTGTATTTTCAAATTCTAGCGCACTCGAGCTGGTTTCTCCATTCTTACCTCCCCCACCTTTAAGACGAATGATTGATTATTTTGCTAGGTCTATTTTTTTTTATACATATAACAGTATTGATTTCACACATTATTTCATATATTAGTTTATTTTATTTTATCTTACTCACATTTCCCAAAGTATCCTTCTGTTTCTTTGCAGTTTGAATGTATTAACCAAGGAATAGTTCCTTTTTTTAAGGCTATCCTAAAGCAATGATAAAATGCTCGTACATACATTTGAAAAGTTAGTGGTAATATTTTCTATACTGTCTGCAAAGAGATCAGCTCACTAAGCAAATTCACTGTAAGAGGGAACAAAAGTTCAGTGTATGAAATATGAGGTTTGTTTTATCTGTCTAGATTCTCAGGATAAAGTTACAAACTTTATGTAGAAAGTTACCACCCCAAGCTTTCTGCAGCACAAGAGAGAGAAATATTTGTAATACAATGCTATAACTTCCAGTTGTCCTACTAGCTTAACTCTAAGTTATACTGGTCTATATTCTTCAGTTTTGTGAGAAAAGACACTAAACTCTGTGGGTCCTCTCAGGTGATGACATCACGTCCATCCAGCAGGAGATCACAATGATGAGGGAGTGCAAGCACAAAAACATCGTGTCCTACTTCGGCAGCTACCACAGGTACCTCGCTTCATCCTGTCCACTGAGGGATTCCCCGGATTGTTGGTGGACTTGAATATGTGGAATTTGACTTTCATTTTCCCCACACTGCTGCTGGATTCCTCTCCCACTCGCTCTAGTGCTCAGTGATTGTTCTCAATGATACTGTATGTATTTGTGGGCGATGTGTTTAATTTAGGAATTTTAGGGAGTGACTGATTTTATACGGACTGCTTTAATGTTGGCTTTCACAACCCCTGATAGACTGGAGAGTAAGCAGAGCTCATGACCAACACCAAGATAAAAGTTGTGTGTCTCTCTCCAGAAACACCAAGCTGTGGATCTGCATGGAGTACTGCGGAGGGGGCTCACTTCAGGATATGTACCACGGTATAAATACACATAATTGTTAAGCATTCTGAGTGTAGTTCTAGTGTTACATACAATTGAAATGTATTTTTAAAGTGCTACTTTATTTATACAGGCCTTATTCTGCTTTTCAGTGCTCTCCCTTTCCTTTAGTGTGTTCTATCGGTTTGTGTGCATGTAAATGGTCTGCAAAGGCTAAAATCCCCCCTGCCTGAAAAGCCTCCATTGGACTCCTTTGTTTACTTCCTGAACAGAGTGACATCCCTTTGTAACACTCTTGCTTCTATTGGCTAGCACTCCAACACATTGTACGTGATAGGCTAAGGGGCGGGACAAATCTAAGCAGTTGACCAGTCACAACAGAGCCAGCCAGCTAACCAATCAGAGCAGACTGGGCTCTGGTTTCAGACAGAGGGTGAAAAGAGGTGTATGAGAACAATAAAGAGCTTTAGAACATTAAAGCACAGTAGAAATATGAACCTGAAAATGAACAGAATGGGGAAATGTCAAATTCCTACCATGCTGGCACAGCGGGAAGAACATGAAAACCAACTCCAATTGTTATTCAGTTCTTACATTTAGCTCTGTTTCCTCTGATTGTAATATGTGTTCGACACTACGCTACACATGTGCTGGACTATCTCTAAATTCAATGTCATCTTTTCCCTCTGGGTTACACCGCAGACATGATTTCCAAAATGTCAAATCACCGCCAATCTTCTGGAGACAGAAGTATAATTCCTGTAAAACAGATGTGGAAGAAGCACAATGAGCTCTGAAAAGCCAGCTGGAATCTATTTTTAGAAATGTACCTGCTTGCTCTTTCGTGTTCTCCCCCTTCTACAAGCTATTAATCAAACTCCTCTTCCCAGTGACGGGCCCATTAAAGGACAAACAGATAGCCTATGTGTGCAGAGAAACCCTCCAGGTAAGGCTTTTGTGTGAAAGGCAGCTTGTTGCTTTTGCGTTGTGAAGACTCTAAAGATACTCTGCTGACGGATGACTCATGTGTTTTCCCAGCCACTGAAGAGCTAACTAGTATTTAACCTCGCCAGATGGCTAAATATACCGTAGAGGTAGATTTAGCTGCAGAACAACAGACTGTCTGTCAGTGACCTTCAGCTCAATGCACAGTTTTATTGGATAATCAGGTTGTAGACAATACAACCAACTGAATTAGAGGCTAAGACATTCTGGTTCTTACCTAAACAACTAAGCAAGAATATATCTCTGAAGGACTCTTTCACCCACCTTATCTAAACAGACGGATGAGCATAAGAGAAGACAGCAGTCACTGCATTAGGATTCATATTGTCACTACTCTTGGTTTTTCCCTTTCTGTTTCAGCTTTCCTTTTCTGTCTGAAATGTTCTTTTCTGATATTTTATTTTCTCTATGTCAGATTAAGGTATTTGAGTTATACTTAAATGAAATTGTGTTTTTTTAAACTCAAATATAACGATCAGTATAAAGAAATGATGTCTGATCACTGACTTTAGAGGCACCTAAATAGTAAAACTATAGCCACAAGCAGTTACAAATACATCCATGAATGGCCTTAGAACACAATAATCAAATTCAATACACACAATAAAAAGAAGTTTAAATGACATAATAATAAAATACTACATTAATGTCATCATCACGCTGTTCTGTGAGAGCAGTGTTGATAACAAATAATTACATCTATATTTTTCAAACAAATTGTGACTTTTGGACTTCATGACACTTTTGAGCTTTTGACAATGTTTGGATCACACAAGTGGCTAACAGTTATATCACCACCCCTTGAATCTAATCCTAAAATATTATTTGTGTAATCAATTAAGCTTGCAACTATTACTTAAAGTCCTATTCTTAATGTTCTGAAACTGCCTAACAGCTAATCTTCATCCTGTGCTTTTTCAGGGTTTGTATTTCCTGCACGAAACTGGCAAAATGCATCGAGACATAAAGGTACATCCATTTGTTCAGGCTTTTTCACTGCCGGATAGTTGTGATCATACATGATTATAGTGTGGGTAAGCATGTGAACACAAGCTCATTGTGTGTCTGCTCTGTCTGCAGGGAGCCAACATCCTTTTGACCGAGAGAGGAGATGTGAAACTGGGTCAGTACTGGAAACACACTTGTGCACATCTGCAATATCCATTAAGCTAGTCACACTCATCAAGTGTGTTTCATTAGAACATCCATAATGGATTATATCCTCTCAGCTCCAGTGTGACCCTGTGTTCCTTCTGTTTTAGCTGATTTTGGAGTGGCAGCAGAAATCAGCGCTTCCGTTGCCAAAAGGAAGTCTTTTATAGGAACGCCCTACTGGTAAGAAGAAGAAAGCACTCGCTTGGTTTGATTACATTACTGTGCAGACTGAGATTCAACCTGTAAGAATTTGTACAGAGTGAAAGGGCTGCAACTATGCCAATATACTTTTTCTTTATTATTAAAAAATATATATATATATATATTACAATATTTTGTTACACATACTATTCCCAAGGTCTAGAATGAAAATGAATTGATTTAAGGGCAGAAAGAGGGTATTTTTGCTCTTTGTAACAGCACCTAGCAATGCAATATTGTTGATGCAGTCTATACTGTATATAGTATACGGTAAATCAGTTCCCACATTGAACTGGTGTCATTCTTTTATATTGTCAACAAATATACTGGTCATAGCCAAATTAAGAAAAAAAGTCTACGAACAAGTATTTTGTGTAAATGAAACGTCTTATATATCCTCTTCCTCAGTGTCAAAGGTCTCTATTGAAGCCTAAAACTATTTAAAAATAAATAAATTAAGCCACACAGTTAGGCAGGGTGACATGTTTGTTATTACAATTAACACAAACACTGTTTTGTACTCATACATACCTGCTGCTACACTTAATAGACTATAGTCGGCAGCTGTTTATAAGAAAATAATGAGAACTGCATCAACAAATCAAATGGCCAGTATCTGATACATACTGTGTACATGAGTGTCAGATCAGATGTTTTTCTACTTTTCTCCTGCTCCTCTGTGCAGGATGGCTCCAGAGGTGGCAGCAGTTGAGAAAAAGGGCGGTTACAACCACTTGTGTGATATCTGGGCTGTTGGCATCACCGCCATCGAGCTGGCTGAGCTCCAACCGCCCATGTTTGACCTCCACCCAATGAGGCGAGTCAGCAAAAAGAATAGACAGTCAGACCGATGGATTCAGACAGATTTAATGGACTCCAAGCAGAGAGACTAACAGAAGAGACTTGTGTTATGTAACTGTGTATTTTATTCTTGGACAGTCAGTATGCATGTAAACACTTAAGACATTTTACAGCCCCATGACATTTAAAACAATGTTTCAGAGCGCTGATGTTGATGTCCAAGAGCAACTTCCAGCCTCCTAGACTAAAGGATAAATCCAAATGGTGAGTCTGGGTTTCTTTTAGAATCACAGCAATTATTTCATTCCTTGAATCTTATCCATATCTGTTCGCTGTACAATTAATTCCCACTTCTCTGCTCTCCGCAGGTCAGCAGCTTTTCAGAGCTTTGTGAAGATGGCTCTCATTAAAAACCCTCGTAAAAGGCCCTCCGCTGAGACACTGCTGCAGGTTAGCTCTCTTTATAGCTCGTCATTTATCAATGGCAGTTAACTAGCAATCCGTCTTCATAAATGCACTATTAATGAATGCAATAAGTCCTATTTTTAAGCCGTATGTATCCAGGGACGTTTGATTCTCTGGTCTGTTGAAGAGTTTTGAGAAAGATGACATGATTTTCTTCGATCAAAACATTTCTTGTATTATTGTTCATCGCCATAATCTGATTCTTGTTCCTCCAGCATCCATTTGTGACACAGCTTCTGACCCGTAACCTGGTCATTGAGCTGCTGGACATGGCCAACAACCCTGAGCTCCACAACACACACACACACAGCATGGACGACAACGAGCTAGAGGTCAGTACGACAAGGAGATGGCAGAACTGATGCTGTTGATATTTATTTGCCAGTTTAAAAAAACAGTACAGCAAAGATTCACACAGATCAATAAAATCTGAAAGAAAGAAAGACAATAAAGAAATGATAGAGAAAGTGGCGCTCCGTGTTGTTGCTGGTGTGTCATGTTAATGATCTGTTGACAGGTTGGGGAAGTGGCTCCGGACAAGATCCAGTCAGCAGGGAAACACCTGCCTGTAGAGAGGACCCTGTCTGAGGAACAATGTGAGAACACACCCATACACAACACTGTTCTAGGAACATTTCAATTTGCTGAGTTGATGTTGGCGAAATATTTCCTGGATCTGGACCTATCCCTGTGAAGTAGCTAATCCTGGGGTTTAAGCTTTCTGAAGCCACATGTGGTTAGGTGACGTTTTCCTACACACCTTTTCCACACTATTCCACTTGACTCAAATGTACTAAATAATAAACTTGATTTCCCTGAAAATAACAAATACATCCAAATATCACTATTGTGATCAGACAATCGTACAACAATTTGCCAAATAATGTTATCTTCAAGAGAATAATGCACTTAGCAATGTGGTCGGAAAACTGTACGCCTTCTGCCATCTGTCCCAAAATCAACATTCATTTAGAGCCTCGCCCGACACAGGCGGAGGTCATTTATTCACAAAGAAGGTGCCCGTGATCAAACCATAATTAAATTACATATCTAATCAGTTCTAATAATAATATGTCATAGATAATGATGTAACTCAAATATTAGATATTCTCATCGTTAATCAGAATGTTAGTTTTATTCTGGATTCGTCTTTTTAAAAGTGAATGACCATTTCCCCTTGGTACAAATTTGTGAACAGATTTCCACAGTGCAACATCTACATTTTCAACTATTGAAACCGAAGACTTATTAAGTTAGTTCATTTAACACATGAAGACATTAGAATAATAAAGTTCTTCCCAGCTAGCACATGCAATATTTCTGGAATTGGCAACACAACTTAGAAACTCTAAATAACATTAGATATAAACAATGTATGGTTTTGAAAAAGCTTCCACAAAGAGCTGCATTCCGATCAGGTGCTGTTTCATGAATACTTTATCTGCTAAAACAGCACACAAGCAAACATAAAACAGCGTGTATGGTGATAGATAAATCATTAAAACACCAACATTCTAATTGTTTACTTACATGTGACACAGATTCTGAGGGAGGCAAAACCTGGTCACTCAATTAATTTTATTGTATTGATTTTATATAAATTATTTTATGTGAACATCCAAATTTGAGAAAAATTAAATGATTGGTGTAGACACCACAACATTCATAACGTTCATGCAGCTCTTTATCATTTACATTTGTCATATAACCCATAAACTGCACAGTAATACAGTGTTCCTGACCAGCACTTCATGGCAGTGCTTGTAACTGTATGCATGTCTAAATATACTGTATGTTGGTTGTGCTTGCTGAAGAGTGGCCTCATTGTCTGCTATGATCCCCAGTATTCAGTGTTGTAATCTCCATAATATGAATGAGGACAAAAGCCCCTCAGTGGGCCTGCTGATGGCGGCCCCCGTCCTGTAACCCGTCCACACGTGTGGGACGGGGGCAGCGTCAGAGGATGGCACTGAGAACATGCCAGTGTGTGTGTGTGACAGACAGTGGGGCTCCTATGCACTGCTGAATGACTTCATGCTGCTTCTTGTGGCGTAAGGTTTCTGGTGTGATTGTCTGGCTTCACACTCTGCCCAGTACCAGATCGTAAATCAACCTGACCTCAACTTCCCTTATATACAGTGTGCTATTCATAGGCACACAAGCCACAGACACATCCATCACCTGCACCTCGGTTTGACCAATATGCGCTTTGAAAGCTCAAGCTGCTACTATTGTTGCTACTGTTATGGCTAGTGCTGCTGCTAAACTGAGATTACTGATGGATTGGGCCTTCAAAAGGTTGGCATCAAAAAACGTGTCCAAATGTAATCGTATTAAATCAATCTGTATGTTGTGTAGATTAAGCATTCATGTTTTGACATTTAATCTTAGGGAAGTTAAGTGTGTTTTGTAAAATGACTTTAGAAGGGTTACGTAGAAAAACATGATTCTCAAAATAAGGTATTGAAACAGTAAAGTTTCAGTTCTGCATTATTTAAAATCATGAAGAAAAGTCCACAGCCAGGGGAATGTGGTACAGCTTGGCTCATAATGTCATGAGTTTTGCAGGTTTTTGCTCATAAATCAAGGTATTGCGGACATTTAAATCTTGAAGAAAAGTAAAGACATCATCAATATTTTTACAATACTTGAAGAAGTAAAATTCTTAGTCAAACTTGGCAATCTATCGGACATTTCTCTCAAAACCAGAAATGTCATCCTATATGAATACAGCGGATCACCAAAGTCAATAGGATTCATTCTCTGGAAACCATGAATGTCTTATACATTCAATACATTGTACTGAATGTAGTAAATGAACATACTGTAGTGAAACCAATGACTGCTAAGAAGGTGGAAATGGAGTAAGACATAGTAGTTTTAGTTTGATAATGACAAGCAACATTTACCATTTCATTAGTGTTGATTGTGAAAATCTTGAAGGCAAGTTTCTAAGTTGAAATGATGACAGAAGTTCTATTTATCGAGGCAGGCATACCAAAACACAATGAGAGCTGAGTGAGACCAGAGAGCTACTTCCGCTCTCTGGTTCTCTAGTTTCCAATCCTCTGCTTCAGAGTCACACTGCCACTGAGAGCTCAGCTTCTCTGTGGTAAACAACAACTAGATACTTCCTGATCATCACGTCTCAGTAAGGTCATCAGAGGTGGTGAAAATAAAAATGTAATGGAATTACTGACATGAATAACCAACTGTAGAAGGCTGTAACTATGCTGTAACATTTACAGAATGTAGACATGTCTATATGTATGTTGTTTTAATCCAAAATCATCCAATATGTGGTAAAATATTAGATTGGATCTTGAAGTGTATACACCTGGAAGCAATCAATGGTGATGCAAAACAATCATGGAATGCATATTAAGAGAACAATTACTGTATTGTAATCTGACCTAAATCTAAACTTTCTATTTTTGGGTTATTCAAATCCAAAGTTGAGTTTTGACTGTTATTTCAAAGGGCTCTTAGAGGCTTGTCGACATCATATTTTGACCTGATGCTGTTGTTAAAGTAAAGGTACACAGGGAGTTCAATCCTTTGCAGACAATGAATTTTTACATTGTTTGGACACACGTGGATTTATTTTACCTTCAGGGGGCATTTTAAAAATGTGGTAGACGTTCCAAAGAACATTGTCTCCGCCTCTGGGGACCATGAATGTCCATGAAAATCTTTATCCAAATCCTCTATAATATTTTGAAGAAGAAGTGTGTGTGTGTGTGTGTGTGTGTGTGTGTGTGTGTGTGTGTGTGTGTGTGTGTGTGTGTGTGTGTGTGTGTGTGTGTGTGTGTGTGTGTGTGTGTGTGTGGTGTGTGTGTGTGTGTGTGTGTGTGTGTGTGTGTGTGTGTGTGTGTGTGTGTGTGTGTGTGTGTGTGTGTGTGTGTGTGTGTGTGTGTGTGTGTGTGTGTGTGTACAAAAATTGTATACAAAATTGCTGTGTCATTTTGCTGTATTTCAGTTAGCTAGCACTAGCTTGTGTAAGAAAGCAAGATTGGCTATTTATCTAGCTTTTATTTGGGTTTTTCTTGAAGGTTTATGTCACATGTATATACGATATATTAGATTTGTTATCTGTAAATTGCACCGTAGATATGTTAATATAACTTTTGTAAAGGGTTGTAACATTAGTTAACATTAGCTATCACAAGCTAATAGTCATATCAAATCAATGTTGTAGCAGTTGAATTTGAAATATGTCATTTAAAAAAAGTACTTAAGTACAGTACTTAGTGACTTTACACCACTGGTGACAAAGGCACAAAGAATCTGAAATGGTCTTAATATAAACAAACTACAACGTTTAAATGCTCCTATGTATTTGTCAATAATTAAAATAAGGAATTTTTTAATATACTATAATAATATAATACATAAAAAACAGCCATGGTGCATAATGGGTACTTTTACTTTTGATACTTTAAGTACATTTAGCTGACAAAACTCCTATACTTCCATACTTAAGTAATATCTTGAATTCAGGACTTTTTCTTCTAATGAAATATTTTCAGACCAACGTATTTCTACTTTACTTAAGTAAAGGATGTAAGTACTTCTTCCACCACTGAGTGTCACAATGTGATCATCTATTGTAGTTTATAGTATATACTTATTAGCTTATGATGGACGCTATAGTAGGTGATGTGTGGTTACAGAGTGCATCCTGTCGGCAGCTCCTATGCTAGCGCTAACAATACACTTAAAAGGTGAGTGCTCATCAATAGTGCATGGAAAGGTCTGGATTGTGTGTGAACACCAAGGCTCGTTTTTAATTGTCTTACACCAATACAAGCCACAGTTCTGTGTGAGTACTACATAGCTCTCGTCTCATTCCTATCACGTTTTCTTTCCAGTTGACCAAGTGAAGTTCGGGCCTCGAATGAGGAAAGTCACTGAACCATATCCTGATTTGGTAAGTCTCTTTTTCTCCAGACTATTTTTGTGACAGTGCTGTATCATAATGACATGTACCAATGGGCTCTGTTCCCCCTCAGCATGGCTCTTATGATGACGACTGGAGTCTGTCTGGAGATGAAGACAACTCGCCGTAAGTCTTCTTCTTTTCACGCTTCTATGTTCATTCAGTAATTATTCTGATGACAACAATGGAACTCCTTTCTCAACAAAATACAGTGATAATGTTTTTCCCCACTGTCCAATAGTGCCTCCGAATCCAAAGTGTTCTTCCTGGCTTGAGAAATGTTTGAATTTCTACATGAAAAGTCAAATGTATGTGTTCAAGGGAAACTCCCCTGATTTTCAGGAAAATAAATCTGAAGGTGTTGAGTTAGAAAGAGCTAAGCTTACCAGATCTCTGTGGCTCTTCATCTCTGCTGCAGGCTAGAGCAGAGTTGTCAAACTCATTTTAGTTCAGGGTTCACACACAGCCCGATTTGATCTCAAGTGGGACCATTGCAACCTATAAATAACCCTGCCACAATACTTCCTTTCTTTAAGTGTAAAGAACTAGTACTTTCTGAACAAGTTCACAATTATTATTTACAAAACATCTGATAAAAAAAATGTCTCTCTTATCGAACAAACAATTAATTAATCATAGCTCTTCTCAAATGTCCTCGCAAGTTCTTATTTCGTTTTTTCAAACAGTGTGAGCCCCATTAAACACATTTGAATTGCAGTGCATGTGTTGAAAAATATGGATTGATGTATTTTTTGCAATTTTCTAACTTTGCAAAGTCATCCAGTATTGGACCATGTTGTGAGTTAGATCCTCGGGACATGTGTTCGACTTCCCTGGGCTGATCGCTCCTAGCTACGTTAGCTAGTACTAGTATAACACACCTTCATCTCATTCAAACTGCTGATGGGGAAGTTGCATTGTGGATAATGTAGGATCCATGTTTTAATAATCAAGAAGAATCAATAGAATAAAAAGGACAATATCTATAGTTCTGCTCTATCATACTTAAAAGAAAAATCCATCTTGAGTCCGACAATGTCAAAGAAGTACAATGATAAGTCAGCAAAGTACTGTTTTAAGAGCACTGGATACTGTGTTGTAGTATGGAGCCTTATTCTAAGGATAGAGGGTGTCGTTTTTCTCATACTGATATTCTGAACAATCTGTGCTGTTGTATTTGCTGTAAAGTGTCTCTACTGTAGGCTATTTTTATTTTATGTACAGCACTTTGGCTCGACCAAAAATCATTTATAAATGTGCTAAATAAATAAAACTTGATTTGATTTGATTCATTTCAATTTCGATAGCTTACTTTGTTGCACTTGCCAAAAACATAACATTTGATCTGTAAAGTCATTAGCTAAACATTTTCTAAAATCTCTATCAAATCCTGAAACAAATAATTATACGGAATGTTGAAAAAAATGTTTGTAATATGGTCTGCAATTCTGCATAAAAAATAGAAATAACCTTAAGGGATTTGGTGGCATTATTGGACACTAGAATCTGATTGACAAATCTGGATATTAAAGAGGCTGATTTAATGGGCTGATTGTTATGTAATATGTGTTGGTATTGAAAGCAGTAGTAATAGTAACACCCATGTTAGTAGCAGGATTCATTCATTTGCAATATTATTGTTGGTGTGACTATTTTAGTATGAAAAGGATCGTTCTGGTTTATTATACCTTGGGTCTTATTTGTGTAGCTGTCAGCATCATTTTCCATCAGTTAAATGAACATGTTACTTCTCAAATAATCACTGATGACCAGATTTTTGTAATGCCTTGATTACATTTTGTTTTGTAGAAACCAAAGGGATTTATGCCACTTCTTGTTGTTTTTATGACATGCTGTGTTGAAGGTAAATGATCAGAGCTGCCATATTTAATGAATACAATACAATAACATGTAGGTAATACACCTTGTTAAAAACGTTGTTTCAGAGCCTGGCCGTTTTGACATACTCGCATACATTTTGGAGGGAAATTTACAAAACCGATTTAACCACACAATACTACATTTAGAATACATTTCAATTCTAATATTCTGGCTACATCCTGGGATTTCTGATAGTAGTGATGGCCACAATTCAGACACGATTTGTAATAAACCAGAACATTTAGCAAATATTGTCAGTTTTAGCCCAAATATAGGCAGTATTTTTGGGCTCCAGAGAGCGCGGGCAGTGGGCCTCTGGTTCCTTCCCCCCCATTGTTAGGGCCCTTCAGGCAGATAAACACCAGGTCTTCCTGTTGCAGGAGCCTGCTGGAATGTGTGGAGCAAGCTCTGCAGCTGAGGTAGGCCACGCCCATCAACTCCAGCCTCTAACGCCCCCCCATCCCTCATCAATTCACCTCAAATAAACCTGTGATTATAATTCAATGTGAATATGAGCTAATGCCAAACCTCTTCAGCATCATCAGTGGGTTTGTGTTCACTCTCCGCTAACCCCCTCCCCAAAGTCCTGCTGTAATTCTCCATGATGTGGATATGATTCAGCACAAACCCATTGTTCTCTGCTTTTTGGGCTTTTTGTCTCCTTTTGTTTTGGTGTTTTCTTTAAGATTTGTGTTGCTGCTACTCCCCTCCCCTCAGCATCTTCAGCATATGCCTTTGTTGCCATTATGCTCCTTTTCCATGTCATTAAGAGACTTGATGAGGTTACTGGAGGCTGATCAGAACATTGTTGCTCCCTTTTCTTTCAGGAGTTTAACCATCAGGAGGGCGCCCTCTACTGATGTGAGTGTTAACTCTACACTGTGGTCCAATTCCATACTATGTACTGATTCTATCCAAGGTTTGAGTATGTACACATCTAAAAAACATGTATTATTCCTAAAAACATCAGTAGAAAAACTTACAAATAAAATATTTATCATTTTATAGATTTACATCATATAAACATTCTACAATGTTAGGCTACATAACAGAAGAAAGTATAGTAAACTGAAATGTGAAATAAAAACTGTAAGTGTTTTTGGTGGCCTTTTAATCAGATCGTAAAAATAACATCAACAAGTGGTCCTAGCTTTCTTGTCGCCTCTAACTTCAAAACTCTCTTTCAAACGCTAATATAATAAACTGCCTCAAACATTTCACTCAAAGACTCGACACAAAAACCACCTGGGCTGTCTGCCATTATGTTTGTGTCTCGTATGAGAAAACGAATGACTTGCAATAAAGGTCCCTGGTGGAAATCAAAGTGACAATATGTGCAGGTCTGTGCCCTAACCATCAGACTATCAGAGCACCATTACTAACATCATTCTGTCACTCGAAGGCACTGAATCTATCCATTAAACTTCACATACAGTTACTACTATTATGACCTTACACTACTATAGATTATACACACTAGTAAATACAGTATATACTATAATATTGATAAAGTCCTGCCTGTCAGAAATCATTATAATTGACATCATGTTGTAGAAAAGAAACACATTATCACACACAATTACAATAATGCATCTTTATTGCTTGGGATAGTAGATTAATTTAAAATTCGAAATATTGGTTAAAACAGCAATTTCTTAGTAATTACAATCAACAAAAAATGCTGATTTGAGATGAAGTTATATACGGTATTTTAATAATTGATGCGTGGTATGATAATTGATTACAATGTAAATCCATCAGCTGCAGTGTCATTAGCATATCCACAGTTTGTGAAGAATCACTGATAAAAAGAACCCAAAATAAATCCTTTCTACATCAATGGAGAAGAAAACAAGGAAGCAGACGTTTGAGACCTGACTGAGCAACATTAGCATGATATTATGAATGAGAATACTCATTTCTAATATTTCAAATCATTTCCTAAGACATTTCCTGGAAAGATTTGTAATCTATTAAAATGATTTAAATCACAGAGTTGGTGAATTTAAATAGATTATTTACTTTTTATATATATTCATAAGTTTACTTGAAAACCTACAAAGTGGTGTACAGTGCACAATAAGTCACCTGAACATGCAACATTGCAACAAAAAGCAGTATTACATTACATTGAATGTATTCACCTGAATTGTAAGTGGATTGAGTAACTTCCAAATCCACTTACAGTAAGTGCATTCAATCATAAAGACACAAACACTTAAAAAAGACAGTCCTACTGACGTGATGACGATGCCCTCACTACAGACTTATCAACATTATAACACACGATGAACACTTTGTAGTATCAGTGTACAGTATGCAGTTGTCCCACGAGGTGGGACAATCAGACAGACCCACCATGACCCCCCCAGAGTGTTTCATGTGTGCTGCTATGTTTCAGGGGGGCAGGAGGAGTGGTCTGTTCGGCCCCTCCACAGCCTCGCTGCCGGCCTTCAGCTCTCTGAGTCCCAGAGCAGAGGAGAGCGACCTGACGCTGAGACCCAGCTGCACCCTGGGACCTGAGGCTGCCATCCCTGCTGACGCCCCCTCCCCCACAGGTACCTCACTGTCACTCCATCAGTACTCAGTCAGCTTTACTCATTTCTAGAGCTGCTTACGCACACACAGCCCAAAGCGCGTTGCATGAATTGCATCGAAATAATCAACCAACTACACAGAACAAATTAAACATGACTTTAATTAAATGTACTATATTAACAGGTTCCACATTACTGTATTAGTTGAAAGCAATAATATTAAGTTGAACCTATTTATTTTTTATTCAAACTTAATATTATTCATCTATGTAGTAAAGGTTTAGGAAAATGTACATGAAGTATTAGGAGAAGGAGAAGTACTCATTGCAGAAAAAAGACTCATTTTCTGATAACCGACTCATGGTTTTAGTTACTTAAACATAATGTTGGATGGTTTGATCCATACCAAATAATCATATTTAAAAATATTTTCTTAACTATTGTGTGTCAAAATCTGAATGTATTAAGTAACTAGTAAATACATTTGTAATATAAATGTATTGGGGTAACATTTGCTTTCAAGTTGTAGTTGGGAAAACTATATATATAGACATTTTATTCATTGGGATAAACCCCTTGAGATGCACCATCTCGTTTTCAAGGGGGTCCCGACAATAGCAACAACTTACAGACATACATAAACAAAAAGACAAAATGCAAAACATGACATACAAGACAAACCACATACAGTCTGTTAAGTACAATTCAAGCAATGCATACAAGCATTACAATTTGAGAGGCAGTCGAGCAAATCAGTTTCATCAATATCAGTTATAACAAGTACAGACCAGTTGAAAGTGAGATAACAATGCATGTTTAAACAAACCCAATGATGCAAGAGATCTAATAGCAGCAGGTCAAGTATTCCAGTCAGTTGGGGCTTTAAACATGAACGCTCTTCTGCCAATCAATTACTACAAATTAAAGTACCTCAAGGTTCAAGGTTCTTTATTGTCATAGCTACAGAGTAATTATGTCGTTGAAAATCTTAGGTCACAGGCTTCTCCAACAATGCAACACAATAATACAGATAAGCAGACAATATTAAAGCAATATTAAAGTATATTATATTCAAAGTAATACAAAAAAGTGGAATAGTTTTTAAAAAAAAGAAAAGTGGAATAGTGCATTACGAGTCTATATACAAGTTATTGGAATGATATATTGATAATAGATAAATAATGACTAAGTAGCAGATGAATGTTGTGAAATTGTTTCAACAGTTCAGGTGTTTAACAGTCTTTTTGCCTGCGGGATGAAGCTGTCCCTGAGTCTGGTGGTTTTAGTCCGGATGCTGCGGTAGCGCCTGCCAGACGGCAGCAGACAGAACAGTTTGTGGCTGGGGTGATGGGGGTCTTTACTCTTTTATAATCCGGAGGGATTTCTTCCTGAGCCGCTGGGAGTAAAGGTCCTCCATGGATGGCAGCTCCGTCCTGGTGATGTTCTCTGCAGTTTTCACCACCCTCAAATGTGTAATAGAGTACAGTACTTGAGTTAATGTACTTAGTTACTCTCCACCACTGGTAAAATAACTTTAAACTCACTAAAGAAATATAGACCTTTCAGTAACTAAGAAAAACAAGGTTGTTTTCGTAAAGTCTGAGATCTTAACTGCGAGTGAGACCCTTCCCAGGGCGGGTCAAAGCCCCTGACATCACTTCCTGTTCCTCTCCTGTGTTCCCAGTGTTGGCCAGGTGCTCGGCCACGCAGGACATCAGGCAGCGCTGCAGTGACCCGTGTCTGCCTGGGGGGGGCGCTCCGACTGAAGGGGAGAATCGGAAAGTCTCCACTGATTCCTCACCGAGAAAAGAGACGCAGCTGTCCCCCGAGTGGAGCACGCTGCGGAAAAACACTGAGGACGCTGTGAGTGGACTCCATAGGACCACCTCAATAAGCTGTGTGATCTGCTAACATAATAACTTCCTCATGTGTGTCTAATGGTGACAAATCACGCAACCAAACAAGATCTTGATTTTTTTAATGCATCTGATTTACAGTTTTTATCATCCCCTATGTTTTGTGTGTGTGTGTAACCTTTGACCTTTCTAGAGGGCTGATTGTCATGGACTTCCTCCTACCCCTCAAGTCCATGTAAGTGTGAAATCTAACAGCATGTGACCAAAAATAAAACCAATGGATTAACATGATCAGCTTCCTCGCATGGCATGAACGAGCTGCACTAGGAACACATTTTGTTTAAAGACCTTTTTATCGCTGCACTGTTTTGTCACATAGGTTTGGATGTCTTTGTTTCCACTAAATGCAGGTATTCTGTATATTTGGAAACTTCATCGTCCAGACGCTGCGTGGTATATTTGGAGTAGTATATCCTAGTGCAACTTTTAATAAGATAAGATGGACCTTTATGCATCACACATTCAAGAGTTTAAAGCAGTAACAGAGTCAGAGTGAAAAACAGGACAGTACAGATTCTTTTAAAAATGTATTCCCTTACAATTGGTAGTTACATGTAATCACTAACCTAATCTGAGTATCTCATTATAAAAGTAATGTAACCTGATTTCTTTCTATTACATTTGGATTACCTCAATATCAAATGCAATTCCAAAAAGATGTTTTTTGTTGAAGTGTATTATGTAAGACAACAGAACAATGTAACCTTAGAAAAGAAGAAGCCAAGATATTTAGGATCAGAAATGTGTCATGTGTTATTATTACAGATTTTTGGTTTGATAAATCCACCTTGTACATTTAAAATAAAGAAGCCTGAAAGTAGTCTCAATGAAAGCAACATACACTGTAATCCTGCTAGTAATCCCCATTTTTTTTAAAAAATGTAACAGTAATCTGATTACATATTTATTTATGTAACTAAGCCAGTGGTTCTCAAACTTTTTCTGTCAGGCCCCCCCTTTGGAGAAAAAAAAAAGTCGGGCCCCCCCAACACAAATAGTCAGGCTCAGTGGCGGCGTCAGAGACTTCTTTTGGGGGTGCTGTGGGGTAGCTTGACGTTTCATAGAGGGTGCTCAAACATTTAGGGTTTCCCATTAATGTACCGGTCACTACAGTGGAATGTTCTACTGCAACACTCCCCACGCATATACACAGTGTTCCCGCGACTGTTACAATGAAGGCTCGATAATCAAGTGCTATTTTTGTAGGTGGTGTGTGGACCTCACATAGGGGGGTCCGGGGGCAAGCTCCCCCGGGAAGATTTATTTTTAAATATTGAAGTTAAATGCATCAATCTGGTGCACTTTGAGAGCAAAATGAAGAGATCTATGGATACCTCTCTCAACACCCATTTGAAAAAGAACTGTAAACAGATTTACTTTTTCTTTATGGACATTTTACAAATCACCCTTTTAAACTTTATTCTTGTTTTACTGTCATATTGTCGTATTTCATAGCTGTTTTTCATTTATTCTCTTATTTTTTTATAACTATAATGATCATATAATGTGCCTCAGAAATAATTGTTTACATTAATGGTGACCAAAACGTTTGAGACCCACTGAGATAACACTGAGAGTCCTTTAGCTCACTGAGTCTCTCAGTCTGACAGGAGAGGACTCTCCTCCACTTTGTTGTTGAAAAAACTCCTTATATCTGTTAGCGTAGCTCGCTAGCACCAGAAGCTAACAACAACGATCTCCGGTACCGGTGCGCTCTCTCTCTCGCTCACGCACACAAAATGGCTCGTTCCACACACACACAGAGCCGAGCTTTAATGAAACACAGAGACCCAGACGTAATAGTACTGTACTGTATCATATTATTTTCGAATCAATACATTTTCAAATGAGTTTTTTTTTTAATCTTTTTTTTTTTTAACCATTTTTCCTCCTGGTCTCTCGCGCCCCCCCCCCCCCCCCTGGCCTGCCTCTGCGCCCCCCACTTTGAGAACCACTGAAGTAAGGGAATACAGTTACCCTTTTTTCATATCCTGATTACGTAATCCTGTTACATTACATAGCATTTAGCTGACACCTTAATCCAGGGGTGTCAAACTCAAATACACAGTGGGCCAAAATAAAAAAATGGGTACTAGTCGAGGGCCGGACTGGTTCAATGTTTATTGCAGAACGTATTGAAATGAACTTATTGCACATATTAAACCTGGAACTAACAAAGCTTAAATGATTGCCTATAAAAACAACATGAAACATTAAATAATCAGTTGCATTCATTTCTTATCTGCAGCTTTTCCAGAGTCATTTCTTATGATTACATTTTCCCACAGGCCAACAACAGCTTCAACAAAACAATTCCCCTCAAAGAGAAAACCAAACATGCCCTGTTGTCGTGAGAGAAAGTGCAGAAGGAAGCATCCATTAAACTCAGCGTGCTGCTCTGTGATGCTAGTTCAGATACTTGGCATCTCATCTCGGGTGCAAGGTCATCAATGTTTGGGCTCAGGCTCTGAGCTGAGGAGACCCTCAGGATGGAGTGAAGGTGTGCGTGCAATATACCGGCGGGCCAGATCTAATAGCAATTAAAAATTATCCTGCGGCCGAAATTAAATCCACCAAGGGCCTGATTTGGCCCCCGGGCCTTGAGTTTGACACATGTGCTTTAATCCAAAGCGATTTATAAAAAGTGCAATAAACCATCAAGATTCAAACTAAAGACCACAAGATGAGTGCCGACATATTTACTTCGAACAAGCCAGACCATTGTAAGTGCTGCTGCATGAGTAAAACTCTTAAGTGCGTTTTGTTGTTGTTGATTATTCACCATGGAATAAGCGAAACAGTTGATCATGTAATCCATTACTCCCCAAGCCTGGTGATACAATACTTGTCATAATCATGCATGCTTTTTTGGTAAGAATGGATTTAGTAAATGGAGGTGTCAGCATTAACATGTCGGACCCTCAGTGATCAGCTGCTCTCTGGTTCTGTAGATGGGAGCCTGCTTCTCCAAAGTCTTCAACGGCTGTCCTCTTAAAATCCACTGCGCTGTCACATGGATTTTTCCAAAGACAAGAGGTGAGACAGTCATATCCTGTGTCTCCAACGGATGTACTTCCAAACACAATAAAGCAACTGTAAAAGTAACACCAAGATCAATGAAATGATGGAAATAATTCCCCCTTTAAACACTTTTCCTTCTTAGATCAGTACCTCATTCTTGGGGCAGAGGAAGGCATCTACACACTGAACCTGAATGAACTTCATGAAGATACACTAGAGAAGGTAAGGAAAGAACACAAAGACCTCAGCTAGGGACTTTAGAAGAGTTGAATCTTGTCAATCTACTCAATTGTCCTTGCTAGCTCCCTTATAGAGGAAGATAGAGGAACAGATTACATCTCATATTGTGCTTAACTTGCGAGTATCATAACATATCTGGTGTGGAATTCATCTGCAGATGCCCCTGCTGACAATTAGGGATGGGAACGATTAATCGAATATTCGAAATTATTCAGGTATTCGAATATGAGTTATGAATATTTGTATACATTTTTTTTTTTTGGGAGTGATGCCTAAGTTGATTACATATGATCAAATGGAATAATTCAATGTATACGACAGTGCCATAGCTAAATGTGTTAGTTGACGTCTAAAGGTGTGTTTTGCTCCGCTCACCGGTCCCTCACAGCGGGCAGAGCTGCAGGTGCTGATCTCTCTCTCTCTCGTGTCCGGTTATACTTCACTCGCGTTTATGTCCAAATCCATCAGATCTAGCTAGTTCTAGCTAATGATATGGCTGCTGCCCCTCCCTACACGCAGATCACTCAGACTCAAACCTCATCTTAGGCCCAAATGTGGCGCAAATGCCCTCCGCAGCCGTTGTGAGGTTCCGGCGCTAACAGTTCATGAGCGTGCTCCCCCGCCCCCTGTCAACACTCGCGACACATGAGTGGCCAGCCTAAACAACAATAAGCGCTGCTTGGCAACCTCCGTTCCAGCTGAGAGGGTCTTCTCTACAGCTGGCCTGATTGTGAATCGCCTCCGCACATGAAAGCTGTAGACCTATAGCTGTCAAACTGTGATCACCAGTTCAATACATTTGACAAATTCGACTTGGTTTCTACACTTATTTGAACATGTATGTATTTATTTCCATTTTTTTTTTACCCAATTTTTTTTTATAGGATATGTACATTTCGGTTAACCGGTTAACCGTTTTTTGGGGGGTCGAATATTCGAATATACATTTGCTTTCAAATTCCCATCCCTACTGACAATGAGACCTAGCCTTTCTATGGATGTCAGTTTTTGAACCATGAAAACCGTCAATTGTTACAACAGTTATTGGCCGAAAGATCATTAAAAAAAAGTGATTTACCGCAAATACGAGAGTTATTGAGCATACATTTATAAATGTCCCCAAATATCATTTTTTTGGTTGTTGGTGTGCTGTGTAGCGTGGCTCAAAAAAGTTTCAAAAACACTGCTATAGTCAGCCCTACTAGGGCGACTGTGGCTGCGAGGGAGTGCGGTCGTCTTTCAACCAGAAGGTTGTGGGTTCGATCCCAGCCCGTGCAGTCAACATGTCGATGTATCCTTGGGCAAGCTACTGAACCCTGAGTTGCTCCCGATGGCATGGCCAATGGTGTGTGAATGTTAGGTACACTGCTCTGTATGAATGGGTGAACGACATGTAATGTAAAGCGCTTTGAGGGGTCTTAAAAGGATAAAGCGCTATATAAGTACAGTCCATTTACCATTTTCTCTATATTGAGAGGTGTTTCAAAGAAAATATATTGCTATTTGATTTTCCCCTATTGCCTTGCCCTACTTATGAGACAACAAGCCACCCAGACTGGAGATATGACCAGGAATGATATTTCTCAGGAAAGATCCAATGTCTGTTTTCCCCCCACAGATTCTGCCTCAGCGCTGCACCTGGCTGTACGTGATAAACAACGTGCTGATGTCTGTCTCAGGTAACTCCTCTCTCTGTGCTCAGAGGACAGTGAGACATGTTGTCCCTGCTCTAAGAAAGTCTGTCTCCTGCAGGGAAGTCCTCCCAGCTGTTCTCCCACAGCCTGCCGGCCCTGTTCGAGCAGAGAGGAACTCTGCAGAAGAAGACCAGCAGCCTGTCCCTGAACACCAGCCGCTTCACCGAGAGGATCAGCTCCAGGTATACCAGCAGGAGGACATGGACCTGGCTGGGTTAGGGGGGTTACTTTAAAAATGTAATCTGTTACAATTTACATGGGAAAAAAGGAATCAGTAACCTAATCTGAGTATCAAAATATAAAAGTAATGCAGCCTGATTACTTTCTGTTCCTTTTGGGTTCCCTTAATATCAAATGCAGTGCAAATAAATAGAGAAAATAAAAAACATAAAATGTTGTCATCTACTGAATGTACAGTTTGTGTCCAGGGTGGGAGGGCAGTGGTGTGGGGGAGCAGATTTCTGATTATCCTAAAGTAACAGAAAATCGTCACATTACACATTACTTATTTTTTTACAGGAAATTAGTCATTGTAAAGGAATACATTTTTAAAGTAACCCTCCCAGCCCTGGATATTAGTGACACTGTTAAGATGTAATGATAGAGCTGTTGACACCACCACTGATTATTTGTACTATTATTTTTTGCACCTGAATTCAAAGGCCAGAAGAAAATGCACTCTGATTTTTTTACTTAAGTAGAAGTAACAGGACTCTTGCAAACGAGATTTTTAATCTCATGACACTTTCCTGTTTGAATAAAAGTTCAATCAAATAACAAAACTACAGCGTAAAATGCTCAGTTAAAGTAAACCTCCTGAATTCAAAATAAAAATTCAAATACGAATCATTAAATATACTTACATTGCCAAAGCGGGAGAAGATGGATGGACATTGCCAAACTTCGAAGTACCCGGTATACAGTACGGCCCTTCTCAAAATCATATTCATTATGATTATTCACAATGCATTAATCACTTTGGTAAAGGTGAGTTTTTTTAAATACCCTAAAAACTGCTGGGTAGCTTTAAACATTTAATAATAAAATATATAATGGTGCTGTTGAATGCAGGAATAAGAAAAAAAACATACATATAAAAAAACAAGATAAAACCGAATGCAAAATTAAACACAGCAGAATATGTTCTGTATACTGTAATAGTATTTGAATATGTAGATATTTGGAATAAACAGATACAGTGTATTAAGTTGTTCTTGTACTAAACTGTGTTTTCTCTCTGAATCTACAGAAAGTTTGCGATATCTGTGAAGATCCCCGACACTAAAGGCTGCAAGAGGTGTAGTGTAGGTAAGTGTCGCACGCTTCAGATGCTCTCTGTGATTATTCAGTGACACCAACAGACCCCCCCCCCCCCTTGTCTCAGCCAGGAACCCGTACACTGACAGCACGTTCCTCTGCGGGGCGGTGCCCTCCGGCCTGGTGCTGCTGCTCTGGTACGAGCCGCTGCAGAAGTTCATGCATCTCAAGGTCTGTACTGCTTTCAGACCAAGAAAGTGCTTCATGCATTCGTCTTTGTGCAATATGTTGAAAAGATCAACTAAGGCAGTGTACTTAAAGTACTTAAAGCAGCAATACTACATAAAAGTGCAAAAGTATCAACATCGAATTATACTTTGATTACCAAAAGTAAAAGTACTCATTATGCTCAAGTCCCATTTCAGAATCATGAATATAAAATGACTGGATTATGATGCGAGGTGGAGGAAGTATTTAGATCGTTTAGTGAACTAAAAGTAGCAAAACCATTTTAATCTGAAAAGTCACTTAAACTTAATAAATAAAACATTAAATAATAAATGTAGTGGAGTCAAATTACATTATTTACCTTTAAGATGTAAGTACAATTTTGAGTAAAAATGCAAAGTATAATTAAATGGAAATACTCAAGTAAAGCAAGTACTTCAAAATTGTACTTACAATTTAAGTACTTAATACAGTCAAATAATTATAAATAAATGTCACTTTCCTATAGTTTCTCCAGGGATTGCCTGATATAAGGGAGGCGTGTGGTGCAGTGGCTTGTGCGTTGGTGTTGGGGTCAGGGGGTCACAGGTTCAAACCCCACTGCAGTCAGCATGTCGTTGTGTCCCTGAGACACTTCACCCCAAAGTGCTACTGTGGGGATTGCCCACAGTACTGAGTATGTAAGTCGCTTTGGATAAAAGCGTCTAACAAGTAACATGTCATGTAATACAAGGCAAGGCAAATGTATTTATATAGCACCTTGCAATTCAAGGTGCTATACAAAAATGAAAGACATTCAGACAAAGGCATACAATGGGTCTAGTAGTCAATATTTAAATGACATTTTATTTTAATAAATCTTATTATTGTGTTAGGGTTAGGGGGTTACATTGCACATTGGTCTTGAAGGATAATCTTACACTATTTTGTTCTACTTTGTTTCTTCTTGCACTATTTTATTGTTATTTTAAAAAAAAAAGAATTGTAATATGTCTTATATATGCTGATGTTGCATTGTTTAAGGAGCCTGGAACTTAAGATTTCCACTGCCATAGCTAAACTGTAGCTACTGTGCTTATTACAATAAAGCCTTTAAACCTTTAAATCTAATGTCCCACTTTAAAACCTTGAATGAATCCCATTCCTCTCTATCTTCATCTAACCTTCCTCTTCCTCTGTGTTCCGTGCAGCACATAGCGATGAAGCTGCCTGACTCCCTGCAGATATTCGAGCTGCTGGTCTTGGTGTCCGATGAGTTCCCCCAGCTGTGTGTCGGGGTGAGGGACTGTAGCAACGGGAAGAGGCCGCACAGCCAGCAGCTGCAGTTTGACATAATCGAGCTGAACAGCACGCCCACTTCAGCTCCAGGTAGGAAGGCTGTCTCTGTTCACGCTTCTATACAAGTAGGTTATCTGAGGTATCTTCTGTTTCTGATTTTGTGACTTCAGCAGTGGTTACAAAAATAATAGGTGGATTAATAGACTTTATTTATGAAAATAGGGGACATAAAATCTAACAATAGTGTAAACTCTTATTTCAAACATGATCAATCACACATAGGAACAGCAAGGTAAAACTGTAGAAATGTACTAAACAAGATATACTTGATACAGATCAACTGATTTATTTCAGATGGCTAAAATACGTTTTGATGCTCCCCCCGCCCACAGCTGCTTGTCAGCGGTGGAAAGTAACTAAGTACATTTACTCAAGTATTGCACTTGTGTACTTTTTGGAAATATTTGTACTTTACTTAAGTTTTTCAATGTACTGCTACTCTATACTTGTACCTCTACATTTCAGAGACGAATATCATACTCCACTACATTTATTTATCACTCACAGTTACGTATAATGCAGTCGAGTACTCCTGATTTACACGGTATGTAGTATCTAGATATGGTCCACATTGATAAACTACAATACTCAAATTCTCTTACAGTACATGTATGAAAAAAAGGATACTATGATAACCGTAGTAATATAATACTGTGAAAAGACCCATTCTGCATAATGAGTACTTTTACTATTGATACTTAAAGTACATTTATCTTATAATGATTCTGTCCTCTGTACTCTTCTATACTTTATATTATTCTTCAATGGGCCAATGTGCGGAATGAGTACTTTTACTTCTTGTAATAAAAGTATATTTTGATTCAAATACTTTTGTACTATGGAGGAGTAACTGAGATGAACCCCCCTCAGTCTGTTCTGCTGTCCCTGTAAAGCTGAGTCTGACTCTTGTCTGTGTGTCTGCAGACAGTGGAGCGCTGGGGGCCGTGCAGGTCACCCAGATGGACAGAGACACTGTCCTCATCGCGCTAGAAAGTAAGTCTTTCCCTCTCAACACGTTCAAAATCCATCATACCGATTCTTAATGTTCTGTCTCTTGGTCTCGTGATGCAGAAACTGTGAAGATAGTGAACCTGCGAGGGTTCCCGTCCAAAGAGCTGGCAGCTGAGATGTTCTTTGACTTCCCAATCGAGACTCTAGGTAAAAACAATCCTGCGTAAAACAGTCAGTGACACTTCCTGTTTCTGCTGACCAATGAGTGACTTGAAATCTTCTCCCAGTCTGCCTGCAGGACAGTGTGTTGGCTTTCTGGAAGCATGGCCTTAAAGGGAGGAGTTTTCATTCAAATGAGGTGACTCGCTTTAAGATGTAAGGCCTTCTGGGACTAAGCTGTGTTTGTCATATTTGTGTCTATAAAAATGTGTTTCCATCTTTATCTGCAGGTTACACAAGAGATTACAGATGAGAGTCGAGTTTTCAGAGTTCTAGGAACCAACAGGTACTGACGATACACGAATGTGACAATACCAACATCCTTCACTGATGAAACAACAGCAGTAATACTTGGAGTAGTTGAGTTAAAGAAAATATAAACTAAGATACAATGAATCACGAAGATCAAGAAATCGTTTTTAATTCTTTAAAGAATTCTCGAAGAGTGATTTGTGCTTCTTAAATGAGCATTGTGATTTGTCCTCCTTTTTTTCTTAACCTTGTGCAGGGACATCATCCTTCAGAGCACACCAACAGACGAGCCCTCAGCCCTGAGCAACCTGTACATCCTCACCGGACATGAGAGCAGCTACTGAGAGGAAAGGGAGGCTATTTCTCCCAAACTGACACTGGAGAGGAGTTTCAAAGCTCAGTGGTGTAAATGGTGTCCAGACACCAGCAACAACTCGAGGGGAACATCTCTGTTTGTAATTCAGTTAGCCGTTCAGACTTCAAGTCGCTGCGCCACACATGTACAAAAGAGACCTTCTAAGTGAGTTTATAACTTTTGTGTGCAAAAGATTTTCATGTAGGAAAACAATTCATAATACCAGCTTTAATCTCAGTGTGACTGCCGCAGGGAAACGTTCCAGTCCTGCTAATACGTGTGCTACTGTCTACTGATGTCATCATGCACCACAGACTGTAGTAAAACATGGTCATAACATCTGTGATAGCACATCTGCAGACTTATATCAACCCATTACATGAACTAAACTGAATACCCCTTAAAGAAATATCGATTTGCATAAATGACATGAAAATGCAAGGGAAAGGAAGTTAAGACTTATTTCCATTGGTTGAACTGAAACTGAAGCTTTTTCCGGTTTATTCACCATGATTTCTCCACCACAATCATATTTGTGAAAGGGAGACTTTTATTTTTGGAAAACTTTGAATATAACTAAGTTTATGCTTAATGATAAGTTTGTGGCTAATAGAACCAGAAGTAGCTTTAATGACGTAAATACTCCCAGGTTGTCAACATGGAAATCCTTCTCCCCTATACCATCCAACCCATTTGCCCTGAACGCAGCATATGTCATCATGCCAAAGAAGTAAATGATTGTTCTCACTTTAAACTGGGACCACATCCATTGTTTGGTGTGTTGATTAATATGTGAGGTGTTCAAATTGTATCAGCCAGTAGCTACCTATTTCTATACAAATATGAGAGAAGCCCTCTTTAAGAATATACATGATCTGGTTAAAGCTAGCTTAAAAATAGAAACAACATTTCAGTCATAATTACATTGTCAGTTTGAATATTACAAACAGTGTGTGTAACCATGTACTTACCCAAGAACGATGAAGGGTCCTTTCATTGCAGCCAGTTGAGGCCACACACTGCTTTACCTGTGACTCTGTCCCTTATCCTTAAGGGACTTGAACATAGGCTAAATGTACACACAAGGTGCCATAGAAATTGAATGCAATTAAAGTGTACTTCTGCTTGTTTGATTAAAATGTAAATTCCACTACATCAGAGTTGTGTGTGTAATGATATTTGTTATTTATGGAAAGGGAGCTGTACAAGTAACACTCACCTTTCCCTAAGAGATACTTGAAGGACATAATATGCATATGGTTATTTGTTTTTTAAAGATGTTTTTATTGTAATTGTGTATACATTTTAAGTATATAACAATACCGTTTGCTCATTGTATGGAGGGATTGTAATATGCACAATAAACGTTTTAATATCCTTTGGAGTCAGTTTTTTAGTTTTGTCCCTTTGGTTGCGTATGTGATTATAATCTAATAATAAATCTAAATAAACATGTGTGGAGCAAGCTGAGGTAGGCCACGTCCGTCAACAGCAGTACCCCAGTAGTATACTGTAGTTGTGCAATGAAAATCTTAGGTCACAGGCTCCTCCAACAATAAAACATAAATATATACATGACATAAAACAAAATTAAAAAACAATAAAAATAGTGCAAGCTCAGGCATTAAGCAGTCTTACGGCCCATCCACACAGCGGCGTGCGTTGAAGCTTCAATGCCTCTGCCCATTCACTTTGAATGGGGTGACGTCACGCTTCGCCGAACTGCATTTGTATGTTCAACTTTTTAAGCAATGTTCAACTTTTTAAGCTTCGGCGGAAGCGTCAGCCAATCGAATCATATGCCAGTACAAGCTCTAGCCAATCAAACTGCGTACTTGTGTGTCCGGGGCGAGAGATTCATGTGATTGGTCTGGTGGTTCTTGTCCGGATGCTGCGGTAGCGCCTGCCAGACGGCAGCAGACTGAACAGTTTGTGGCTGGGGTGATGGGGGTCTTTGATAATCCTGAGGGCTTTCTTCCTGAGCCACTGGGAGTAAAGGTCCTCCATGGATGGCAGCTCCGTCCTTGTGATGTTCTCTGCAGCTTTCATCACCCATGCCTTACGATTAACCTGTTAAGCCCCAAGGTCCCCGCCGGCGGGTACCCTTGTTTTTTTTTCTCATGACACTGTGTCTCAGGGCATCTTAATATTTAAGAACCTATTAATGTGTTATACCAGATTAACGGGAATAATCTCAGCTAACTGACGATATAAACCATTTTTTACCAAAACAAAACACAAGTCTCATAAGAAGCATCTAAATGATCCCTGAGCGAAAAATGCTAACCTATTACTGCACCGATAATCACTCCTAGCTCCCTTATTACTTATCCTAGGTGCACATCTAACACATCGTTTATGATCGCAAGGAGACACAGAATCTAACGACACTGAAAGATGCAAACTCGCGACGTTATCAACAAAAACGTACATCAAAACATATGGAGCTAGTTAGCTAAAAACGCTAACATGGCTCACCTGTGTGGTAGTCTGGTCTAAACTGGTCTTCAATGGCATTAAAACGATAAAAACGCTGCTGAAGTTAATCCATAGGTTAATCCAATGTGTCTGTGTCACTTTGAATGATTTCTGATAATCCATGAGCAATAAATCTGCTTTTCGGTTTTGAGATGTCAGACCTAGAGACAGCTTCACTCTGGAGCAAAACTGTGTACGCAAAGCCCCCACCTTTTCGTTTTGCCATGTGTGTGTGTGAGGAGATTCCCCTTCGATTCTATTGGCTCTAACGGTCAGAAAGAGAATGTCACATGTCAAAATAGAAGAAGGGGGGCCAGAGATAAGGAAAATCCACCCAAATGGCCCCAGAAGAGGTTTTTTTTGCTAAATCTGTCTAAAAACGGGACGGGTGGCGCAGTGGTCTGTGCGTTTGATAATCAGATCAAGGGGGCGTTGGGGAACTCCAGTTCGAAACCCACTCCCGCCCCACTGCATCAGGCCGTTGTGTCCTTGGGCAAGACACTTCACCCGAATTTGCTCCTGTGGGTCGTATTGTCCACAGTTGATGACCATGGTGTATGATCTGTATGTGTAATGTGTATTTGTAAAGCGCTTTGAGAGTCATTGATAAAGCGCTATAATAAATACAAGGATTATTATTATTATTATAGAAAGGTCAAATATCACTTGTTTTGCATCAATCTTGATACAGGGTACTTATTATATGTTGTACTTTGGATTCCTAAAGCTTTGAGTCTACTAACCCATCATCCAAGGGTAGTTTTCACTATAAGTAGCCTACAAAATATTTTTTGGACGAACACTATAATTTACAGTTTTTTACTGTGTTCAATCTGAATTTTCTTTAAAATAAAAAACATCTATATTGATTCTGACTTTTCTACATCCAACTCACAGGTTTATCATTACTTTGAGAAAAAAGATTATTAATTTAACCCTTTTCGAAGATATGGTCATTTTTTCTGGGAATGTCATTTTTCGAGCCTGAAGCGGTGCAGCTGCCGTACCAGGCCGTGATGCAGCCAGTCAGGATCCTCTCTATGGTGCACCTGTAGAAGGTCATGATCCTCTCTATGGTGCACCTATAGGTCAGGATCCTCTCTATGGTGCACCTGTAGAAGGTCAGGATCCTCTCTATGGTGCACCTGTAGAAGGTCAGGATCCTCTCTATGGTGCACCTATAGGTCAGGATGCTCTCTATGGTGCACCTGTAGAAGGTCAGGATCCTCTCTATGGTGCACCTGTAGAAGGTTAGGATCCTCTCTATGGTGCACCTGTAGAAGGTCAGGATGCTCTCTATGGTGCACCTGTAGAAGGTCAGGATGCTCTCTATGGTGCACCTGTAGAAGGTCAGGATCCTCTCTATGGTGCACCTGTAGAAGGTCAGGATGCTCTCTATGGTGCACCTGTAGAAGGTCAAGATGCTCTCTATGGAGCACCTGTAGAAGGTCAGGATCCTCTCTATGGTGCACCTGTAGAAGGTCAGGATCCTCTCTATGGTGCACCTGTAGAAGGTCAGGATGCTCTCTATGGTGCACCTGTAGAAGGTCAAGATGCTCTCTATGGAGCACCTGTAGAAGGTCAGGATCCTCTCTATGGTGCACCTGTAGAAGGTCAGGATGCTCTCTATGGTGCACCTGTAGAAGGTCAGGATGCTCTATATGGAGCACCTGTAGAAGGTCAGGATGCTCTCTATGGAGCACCTGCAGAAGGTCAGGATGCTCTCTATGGTGCACCTGTAGAAGGTCAGGATGCTCTCTATGGAGCACCTGTAGAAGGTCACGATGCTCTCTATGGAGCACCTGCAGAAGGTCAGGATGCTCTCTATGGTGCACCTGTAGAAGGTCAGGATGCTCTCTATGGAGCACCTGTAGAAGGTCAGGATGCTCTCTATGGAGCACCTGTAGAAGGTCACGATGCTCTCTATGGAGCACCTGCAGAAGGTCAGGATGCTCTCTATGGTGCACCTGTAGAAGGTCAGGATGCTCTCTATGGAGCACCTGTAGAAGGTCAGGATGCTCTCTATGGTGCACCTGTAGAAGGTCAGGATCCTCTCTATGGTGCACCTGTAGAAGGTCAGGATGCTCTCTATGGAGCACCTGTAGAAGGTCAGGATGCTCTCTATGGTGCACCTATAGCTGCCATACCTCAGGATATCCCTCACAGTTGGCAGTTCAGACACCAACAGCTCTCGCCCAGGGTTAGGGTTAGGATTACCATGAGCTCAACATAATTATGCAGTACAAGTCCACAGCCAAGAAAATGTTATTTGCATGTCCTTTTATTTCTGAGTATGGAATTATGGAATTATAACACTGGAGCTTGCTATTATTTAACTTGATCATTCTGCTTCAGTTTGTGGGCTACAGCCAATTTATGGTAGCAGCACGTTAACAGCTTCATCCTCTGAACGTGCGTTTGTTCAAAAAACTGCAGGAACCCAGAACACAGACAAAAAACAAAATCCCCTTCACATCTCAACTATTGTAACGCGTCCCCGATATGACCACAGTAGCACTGATTATACCTGTATTAAGCACCTTGCAGATCGCTTCTCTGATTGTTTTATTGCACAACAAAATCATGTACTTTCTGTTCTATGCATTTCAGTTAATTAACATTCTTTAACTAACACTTCACTTTCCTGACACAGTTCCACTAACATACATTCACTGTCAGTGACCCTTTTCTGTGATAAAACATATTTCACTTGAATTTCACATTCAGTAGACATTTATTGTACCTTAAATACATTTTAAGAATGAATTATCTAGTCTCCTACATGAGAGAAACAAGGCCTGGGCAAAGGCTAGAAAATCAGGCTTAGAGGTAGAATGGCTGCGTTTTAGGCAGCTAAGGAATAGCTTCACTTCACATGTCAAAAGTGCTAAATCTAAGTATTATCAGTCAGTTATCACAAACAACCTCTATACTCTAGAGCAGGGGTCACCAACCTTTTTTAGGATGAGGGCTACTTTCAAAAAATAAAACAAGTCGGGGGCTACTTTTACTCCTCTTTTTTTTTGTTTTTTGCAGTGTACATATTTAGCACATTGGGTCTGTGTTTTCAGTGTTTACTAAGATAAAATGTATGCAATTTAATTATTTTAACCTGCTTTATTTTGGGGGTGAGCCTCATATCCTCTAGGGGGGACCTCACATCCTCTAGGGGGGGTCCTCACCTCCTCTAGGGGGGTCCGGGGGCATGCACCCCCGGGAAGATGTTTTTTAAAATGTTGAAGTGAAATGCATCAATCTGGTGCACTTTGAGCACAAAATGAATTTATGGATACAGCTCGCAACAAAGGGAGCTGTATACTTTTCAATACTCCAATCATCTTTAGAATATTATCACAACCAATAACAAATCATTTAAACTTGTTTATTCTTATCTTATGTTAGCATTCTTTCTTTTTATTTATGCATATTTTACTAATCATTCCCCTTTTAAACTGTTTTTTGTACTGCCCTATAGTACACATTGGAATGATTTCTTACTTTATCTATATTAAATAGATAAAAGTGTGCTCTCCCTAGCTCTCTCGCTCCCTCTCTCTCCCTCCCTCCCTAGCTCCCTCGCTCGCTGTCTCTCTCTCCCTCTGTCTCGCTCGCTCACAGAGGCTGTGTGCTCCTCCGTGGCCATGACGGCTTGCGTTAAAAAATAATAATAAACATATTTGTAAATTGGGGGGACACAAACGGGATTTCTAAAAGTGCGGGGGACATGTCCCCCCCCCTGTCCCTAGTGGAGATTACGCCATGTGTGTGTGTGCGTCAAGTGGAATAAATATATATGCAAGTTACAACACACAGAGTAAAACTCTGCCCCTCATGTGCAGTATAGCCTGGCATGACTAGGCTGTGTTCAATGGGGCTGATGTGTTGTGTAGATTCTGCCAG